TGCAACTCATGAAAACCCTCAAATATTTATCTCCACGATGAGTAAACTGAGGCTGAGGCATCAGACAGATGTCACCCTATCTTCATGCTTTTACTATTGCTATGCCCTGTACCTGGAATGTAAGTCTAACTCTCCTGGGTACCAAAATCCACGCTCTTTCTGCTACTACATAGCGATGTCCTCTCGAATGTTTGTAAAACCTTACGTTTTCCTAGGACATGACTCATAACATCCAATAAACCTCCTTCATATGCACTATTATCCCAGCTTGTCTTCAAAACAATCCAAAGAAGTACATATTATGGAATTGGAAAAGAAGGGTACAGCAAATAGAATATTTTCACTGATCCACTAACCTGTGACCTAGTCATTGCCCATGGACCACAAGCGCTGTGCTCTTAGCTGAGCTCAGCAACATAGAGATTACCTTGCGCTTTTCAGGTCCACCTGCACTTCTGGAGCTTCTGTAATCACTAAGAAATATGCTTGGTCGTGATGCAAAGCCAAACATTACAGAGCCAACAAAATTACCTATTAATCTCCAAACTGCTGTAGTCCCAGAGACAAGCAGAGCTTGGGAAGATATTGCCCTTTGCTAACTCCATGTCTGTAGGAGTCCGGCTGCCAGTATAAATAATATGCTCTCTGTGATGCTGGAGACATTTATTATTTTCTCTTTCTATTCTTTTCCATTAATTTCTTCTGACATAATATTATACGATAGAATCTATTGCTTACTGGAGTAAAGAATCAAACCCTGGAATAAATTAATTATAATTTCAGGGGGGAAGAGACTAAAGTCATGGAAATGCATGTATGAAATAATTGGTTCACAGAGTTTTTCCTGGAAGGAAATGGCCTCACTGTCTTTTCTATTAATTGATAACTTAGCTGATGCTCATCTCACCAGCAAGTGAGAGTTAGAGAAATTCTAATAGCAAGATTTGTGCCTTCCCTATTTTTAAATTATAATGTTCCTTTTTACTGAGCCTATGCAGATGATTCAGGATCGCATGAAACCGTAATTTCGTATACATTTATGCAACCTTCTGCCAAGAGTTACCTGCTCAATGCCATTTTTTTCTCCTGCTGAAATCCAAGCAAGACTTATGCTGTACCTCAGGGCAACTCATGCCTACAATTCCTATTGATTTTCTTGCATTTATTATTGGCTACCTATCCCTCAAGAAAGAGTCGCTTACCTTTCTAATTATGAAGAAAGCCTTCAGTATGTAAGTCCACATAAATCCTCAAAGACAGTGGCTGAAATTGCCAAAACAGTGCGAGGACTTTTAGTGCTGCTTCCTCATCCTTAGAATGACATGCTGGTTTAAAACTCGGACATTACATTACCACCTTCAGATTGAACCCAGGAAATCATAAGTTTTTAGATCTCAGTTCAGCATATATTTGCCTTTGCAATACTTTTCCCTGAAGGTGTGATGAAAAAAAAAAACATAATAAGTTCACTGAAAATATTTCAGGGCAAATTGTTCTCAACATTTTTTAGTATATGGTAATGCCCTCGATGAACTTTGTGCCAATTAGTAAACAAAACAGGTATTTGGTTTTGTAAGGAATATGCCCCAAGACTTTTGCAAAGTGCTAAATTCTACTTCAAGTCTTGTATAATTTTTACTGCAAAATGACAATAAATATAATCTCAAGAGCGCACCGCACATCCATCCGCCGGCAGACAGGTCACGGCTGCCTGACCCGCTAAGCGACCTGCTTCCCTGCATTAGGGCTATCTGTGTAGTGCTCACACGCACGCGCGTGCATGCAGACTCACACTCGTGCACACATTTCCATGTGCAGACGAGCGGATAGAGAGACATGCGTGCATTCGTGCACATTTATGTCTCGGCAGAAATAAATCAGAAATCGCTTCTTTTAATGCACACTCGTGATTATTCACGGTGGACAAAATCATGCGTGTTAAATCCACAAATGTTAACACTAGACTGGTGCTGGCAGCTGCGCAGTAGGCACTGTACTCAGTATTCCTGCGTTTTCATCAAATTGAAATTTTTTGCTTTTTCACTAAATCACACTGGCCATTTTCCTGAATTATTTTGAAATATTAAAGACCCGCAGGACTTAGAACACTGCACTGTGTCACTGTCTCGTGCTTTTTCTCTTTAAATGGCCACATGTGACATGAGGACAAGACCTAACCCCAAAGTACCTGAGGAGAATGTCAAGCCTGTGTGCTGCAAGGAATAAGTAAATGGGTCACGGAACCTCACTTTGCTTATTTTATCAGAAATGATACGTTCAGGGAC